TTCAAAAATTATATTCTTAACATCTTATGATTATCATAATCTTTCTAGTTCGTGTCGTTTTAATAATACAAGGGTCCTAGACTAGACCGTAGTTGTTCATTTTATGCGCCCCTTTGCCAACCCATTGGGTAGCCCAAAAGATGGTAAGTCTGGCCTTTATTTTTTTTTCTCTGCCCCGAGTCATGACAAACAAAATTTTCCCTGTAATTTTGATGACTCTGTCTCCGGCTCTTCGCCTCTCTTGATTGATGAAAGCGAACTCACAAAGGGTTATCGGTAATCAGCAATCAGCCAATTACTTGTCTCAACTTTGAGTCATCTCTCAACTTTTATACACTCGCATCCTCTTCAATCTCAAGTGTCATGTAAGTTTAACCTCATTTTCTATTTTAATTTTTTAAAAACTTGACCTAATTTTTGCGACGCATTATATATATTTATTTGTGCTGCTTGAAATTAGTAGGCAATAGTTTTAGTGGTTAAATCTTCTTCATTTGGATAATTTTTATGTTTATTGTTGATTGTTCAACTTCTAATTTTGTGTTAATCTTTTACTTGTGTGATATTGTTATATTTATGAATTGTTTGAAGTTTGGAGACAAAAAAAGTGTGTTTACATGGATACTAGAATAATGATATTTTACTTCACAACCCCTTTTGCCTGCTGAAGTGATAGAAGATGTTAGCCTAATAAGATTTTGGGTTTTCTCTTGTATTGGGCTTTATGATTTAGCCTTTTAGCTAGGAAACCCTAATTATCTTCTCTATATATTATGCCTTTCCCTTTAATTGTATTTGTACTTTCTCATTTGATAATAATATGAAACCCTAGCCGTTCTATATTTTGTTAGTTTGTACTTTCGTTTTGGGGGCGAGAGTACTGTTCATTGGTACTGTTCACAACACTGTTCATCGGTACTTGTTCACCGGCACTGTTCACCGTACTGTTCACGACACTGCTCATCGGTATTGTTCATCGCACTGTTCACGTTATTGTTTATCGCATTGTTTACGTTACTGTTCATCGCAATTTTGAGTATGGTTTCTTTCTCGTTTCTTTATTCAGTTTGATTTGATTTGTTCGTCTTGTCGGTTTCGAGGGTTTCGTTTCGTCTGTTGGTTTTGTTGATTTCAAGATCTTGATTATTTCTGCTGCTACTCATATTTACTGTTTGATTGATACTGAAATATGGCCCCAAGAGATGATTCTCTTCAGTCCATTAGTATTCAACTCGATGGCAAAAACTATGCCTATTGGAGTTATGTTATGAAAAAGTTCTTACGAGGCTATGTGGGGGATTGTTACAGGTGACAAGAAGAAAGTAACAGACGAGAAGGCTAATAATTATGCAACCTTACTTGATTCATGGGAGACTGATAACTCCAAGATCATTACTTGGATTAATAATTCTATTATCCAGTCTATTGGTACACAATTGGCGAAGTATGACACAGCAAATGAGGTTTGGGATCACTTGGCTAGGTTGTATACTCAATCTAACTTTGCAAAGCAGTATCAGTTAGAGTTTGATATTCTAGCCCTCCAACAGAACAATCTCAGTGTTCAGGAATTTTATGCTGCTATGTCGGATTTGTGGGATCAGTTGGCTCTTACAGAACCTGATGTGTTGAAGGCTTTTAAGCCTTATATTGATAGAAGGGAATATCAACATTTGGTTCACTTCTTGATGGCATTACGTTCAGGTTTTGAAGGCTTGCGCAGATCAATCTTGCATCGCACACCTCTTCCTAATGTTGGTTCGGTTGTTCACAAGTTGATTGCTGAAGAAACTCGTATCAAGTCCCGTGCTGACAAAGGTCTCAAGACAGCCACTCCTATTGTTTTTGATGTTCCACAACGACCTCAGTCTTCAAACCAGAGTCGTCCTAAAGTTGCATTTGATGAGTGTGCTTTTTGTAAAAAGAAGAACCATTGGAAGGCAAATTGTCCTTTGCTGACAAATAAAGGAAACCAGCAGCAACAGCAAACGAGATTACCTGCAAAGTCTTAGGCTTCACAACAGAACAGGTCTTCTGGACAGTCACGTCCCTCATTTCCATCTTTTAGGCCACCACAGTACGCTGCTGCTATACCTTCAGTTGAGAATGAGACAGATTTCACACCACCATCAACCTTGGATCCATAGATTGTTGAGCAGTTCAGACAGTTCTTAGCTGCCAATCCAACTGCCATGTCAGCTTCCATGTATCATTCAGGTCTGTCTTCATCCAACACGTCAGGTATTCCTTTATCCTTGTGGATATTGGATTCTGGTGCATCTTATCACATGTCACCACATTTGTCATCTTTTGCTTCATTATCTTCTCGTACACCTGTCTCTGTTATGTTTGCTAGTGCTACACCCATGTCAGTAGAGGGTGTTGGTTCTATTGTCACTCCATATAAATCTTTAACAGATGTGTATTACATTCCCACACTTGACTCAAAAATAGCAAGGGAAAGTAGGGAAGTCGAATCCAAACAGCAGAGAGAGAGGACTTTGATTCCCTTCCCTGTAGATATGAGAGATGGACATGGAAGGAAGTAGCGACCTGCATGAATGGTGTAACGACTGCCCCGCTGCTACATAATCATAAAGAAAAGAGCTAAAAGACGATAGCTGCTTTAGAGGTTGCTTAGTCGGTATCTGACTGAACTAGCTGGTTTAGATTTGTCTCCTAACGCCGCGACGGGGACCGGTAAAAGAAAAAACTACCTTATAAAGCTACTACCTAGCTTGGAAGGTCAGCGTTGAGGTTCGAGAGCGTATTGTATGAACAAATGCTTTATTCGATCACTTTTCTCTAGCGTTTGAATCTTGCATCGGTCAGTTAGTTGTGTAAATCTGGTTGTTGGGTCTTCTTTCTTGATTCATTATGTTGTATACAGGTCATTCGGTCTCGGAGGGTGATTAGGATAGGCCATAGACTTGGGGAGCTCTATGTTGATGATGTTGCTGCATCTTGTGTCGATTTGTCGTCTTTTCGTTTAAACCCTTCGTCGTCTGTTTTTTTATCTTTGGCATTCTCATTTGGGACATGTCTCAGCGTCTCGTTTACAGTTTTTGGTTTCCACTGGTGTGTTAGGCTCTTTGAAAATTGATGATATTTCTGATTGTTGTGGTTGTAAACTGGGAAATTTTTCTGCTTTACCATTTAATAAAAGTGTCACACATTCCATTGCCCCCTTTGATATCGTGCATTCTGATGTGTGGGGTCCCTCTCCGATCATCTCTAAATCAGGATCTAACTATTATGTTTCATTCATTGATGATTACACTCGTTATACGTGGGTTTATTTATGAAGTGCAGGTCTGATTTTTTCACTATATATATAGTGAATTCAGAGCTCTTGTCAAGACTCAACACTCTGCTGTCATAAAATGTTATCGGTGTGATTTGGGAGGAGAATTTACCTCCAATGATTTTAAACAATTATTGGCATCTGATGGCACTATACATCAATCATCTTGTATAAACACTCCTTTGTAGAATGGTGTTGCGGAAAGAAAACATCGACATCTCCTAGAAACTGCCAGATCCTTACTACTTTCTGCTCAAGTTCCCAATATGTTTTGGGGAGAAGTTGTTCATACCGCCACTTATGTTATTAATCGCATTCATACTGCGTACACTTCGGGGAAGTCTCCTTATGAAATGTTGTTTGGACAACTTCCAGATTATTCTTCATTACGAGTGTTTGGGTGTACATGTTTTGTCTTGAAGCCTCATTACGAGTGTTTGGTTAGATGGGATCTAAGCATTTTCAATTGATTCAATATGGTCATTCATCATTTTTTTGTTTATGAACATAATTAATGTTTTAGGGCTGCAATCAGATGGTTTGGTCGGAGAAGATGAACATGGGGGGTGGGTTCGAGAGAGGGAGGGGGAACGAGAGAGAGAGAGAGAGAGAGAGAGAGAGAGAGAGGTGGGCCTCTCTTTTTTAATTATTAAAATAACTATTAGATTTAAAAAATTGAAAGAAAAATGAAAAATAAATACTCCAAGGGTATTACAGTCATTTCATTTTACCGAGGGACCAAAAACGTAACGAAACTACCTCAATGACCACCAATCCAAAAAAATCGTGGTTTGGACTAAAACCCCAAAAAATACATACCACAGTGACCATTTTTACAATTTTGTATTATATTTCACATCAACAAAAGACATCCAATCAACATAAACCTGATAAAAAAATATAAAGTGAATAAAATTAATATTTTGCCTAAAAATCATGAAGGAAACTAAAAAGAATTTAGTTCGGGTAAAACCTTTTTTTTTTTTTTTGCAAACTCAAAAGTTTTTTCTACGGTATTTACTTTAAGGAAATTGAAAATCTGTGGAAAAGATAGATACTAGAAAGTTGAATAAATTAATTAGATAAAATTAGTAAAATAACAAATAAGGGGGTGTTTGGATAGGGAAACAATAGGGTGCTTATTGCTTATTTTCACCACAATAAGCTAAGTTTAAGTGTTTGAATATGAATCCTTAAAAATCAGCTTATTGTAGTAGAGATAAACTAAATATCCTATCATTAAAAATCAGCTTATTGTGGTATGGATAAGCTAAATAAGCTGATTTTAATAAGCATCTCCCTCTTGCTTATTGTTTATTCTCACCGCAAATAAGCTAATAAGTTATAATCTAATTTATCCAAACACCCCTAAAAGTAAATAAAAAAAGGAAACACTCAACTTAAGGTTTTTGTTGCAAATGCAATAAAAATAAAATATGATTTGAAGGAAATTTATGAACCGTAACTTGAATCGGAATTATCAATACCGGTCCTAATATATCTAAATAAATCCTGATTCTTTTCTTGAAAAAATTAAATATTCTTATACTTTTTGTTTCTACAAATACTTCTACCCAATTAAATAGTGACATGTGTAACATTTAATGAAATTTTAATATATGACATGTCTCTTGATTTAATTGGGTAGGATGTCTTGATTTAAATGGGGGAGGAGGATTTTCGAGAAAAAAAAAATTATGACTGGAATCAGTTTCCCTGAGTCCGCTTAAGAACCAATCACATAAATCCCTTCGATTCGCTACTTTAAACAACTACAAATATCTCCCGTCCAGGGTTTGCGTCTCTCCATCTTCATCGGATCGATCTTCGCAGGTAATTTTCATTAGATTCCCAAATTTCATAACATAAATGCATGTAAATTTTGGTATATGTTTACGTTATGCCAAAATCTATTTATCAAATTAGAGTCTTGCACAAACACTTTGCGATTATGTTAATCTAGGGTTTCTACTAAACTATTATTTAGGGCTTTTTTTGGTTAAATTTCGAGAATAACTACGGCTGAAGCCTTAAAGATTATGCTGACTCGTTGCTTATAGTGAAGCGACGGTTGTCCAATTTGCCTATGATTGCGATAATTTTTTGGGTTTTTTTGTGTTATCCACGTCAACATGGATTTGTTTCCGGCAGTTGAGTGAATCTCATAGCCTCCTTAGGCTATGAGGTTTCTGGTTCTTTTTGTTTAAGAGACGTTGAGTAAGTGATTATGTTAGTTTCTTGGTTATAATATCAGTTCTTAGTTCATATGCATTGCACAGTTTTATGTAATGTCTACTTATATTTGGTATAATTGCATAGATATAGCTTTATGATCCAATGAGAAAAGGAAATATGAACTTTGCTGTAAACAAACTTAAAATAATTTCTCTATTCTCCTTTCCATTACTGAAAATACAGTTTCTTGAAGGTTTATGTTGTTCTTTTTCAGCATCTGCAGTAACATGTAGTCAAAAATATGACTGGGGAAAGAACATTACATCCAGATTGCAGAAATTCTTCAAACCCATACCATGAATGTAGTGAATTTTGCTGTAACTTTAGTTCCTTCATATATACAAAGCACAATTATAATTTATCAAACTCCTATCAAAATCATATGTGGATGGAGCAAGACTTGCCACGAAACTTTAGGAAAAAGAAATAATTCACTAAACTCAAATTTGTTTCATAAATTAATTCCAAATAAAAATAGTATAAAGTATGGGGTTTCTTCTATCACTTCAGAGCATGCAAAAGGGGTTGTGAAGTGAAATATCATTATTCAAGTAATCAAGTATCCATCTAAACACACTTTTTTTTTGTCTCCAAACTTCAAACAATTCATAGATATAACAAAATCACACAAATAAAACATTTAACCACTAAATCACACAAAATTAGAAGTTGAACAATCAACGATAAACATTAAAATTATCTAAATAAACAACATTTAACCACTAAAATCATTGGCTACTGATTTCAAGCACCACAAATAAATATATATATATATATATATATATATATATATATATATATAATGCGTCACAAAGATTAGGTCAAGGTTTTACAAAATAAAAATAAAAAATGAGGTTAAACTTACATGAGATTTGAAATTTCACAAAGATTAGGTCAAGGTTTTACAAAATAAAAATAAAAAATGAGGTTAAACTTACATGAGATTTGAAATTTGAAGATGCGAGTGTATAAAGTTTGAGAGAGGACTCAAAGTTGAGACAAACAGTTGGCTTACTGCTAATTGCTCTTCGTGAGTTCGCGTTCGTCAATCAATAGAGGCGAAGAGCCGGAAAGAGAGTCATCAAAATTATAGGAAAACTTTTGTTCGTCATGAGAGAAAAAAAGAAAGTCTAGTACTCCAGTTCCATCTTTTGGGCTACCTAATGGGCTTGCAAAGAGGCACATAAAATTGATAACTACAGTCTACGCAACTGTATTATTAAAAGGGTGGTGTTAAAAAAGGTTAATTTTATAGCTATCTTTTAAAGGATACTAGGATAATGACTTTGATAACCCCCAATCAAGTTTGTTTACCGAAGGAGGTCCCACAATCCGAATTCCACCACAAACCGTGAATCAGAAGCCAATTAAGGCACGAGAGTATGGCGTTTGTCTTTTATGCCCTTTTATTTATTAGTAATTGTTTTCACCACTATCTCTGCAGTTTGTTTTATTTTGGTGGGGGACAACATTCGTTGCTCGGTCTGTGGTTGCCTCCCTGCTGGTCCAGTCTAGAGTATATATAGTGGGTGTTTCTTCCTTTTTGAGTAGCTGAAGTTTTATGTAAAAGAACCTTGTTCGTATTTTGGAGATACCCAGATTTAGAATCCTGGGATTATCTTAATAGTATTCAAGTTTGTTCTTCATTCCTTTGTGTTTTCTAGTTAAGTTGTTAAGTGATTGTGTTGGTTAGATTAAGAGCTCACCAATTGGTATCAGAGCTGTTCCATCCAATGGGAGGAGCTTCTAAAGGAGCTGCTGTGAAGAAGCTGGAAGATCAAGCGGGGGTGATGCAGATTCAGCTTCAGTCTCATAATATGGACATTTAAGAAATGAAGGCAAGGATGGACACTCTCCTGCAAGGACAAGAGGAGATGACTCAGAACCAGTAGTAATCAAGAGCAACAATGAACAAGGTGCTGGAAAGACTGGATTTCATGGCTGGGACCGGAAAAGGTAACTCGAATCCCTACTAAACTATTAATACACCTTTTGGGAACCCTATGAACAAGAACAAGGGTGTTGGGAGTTCAGTGGTGATGTTCCGGCTCAGGAGGTTAGGACAAGATGGAAATGGCGGCGTTGGTCCTGGTGGAATCATCTTTGGATCTCTTCACCAAAATGATGCAGGGAGAGGGGGTGGTCGTTATGAGTTCAGGCACCGGAAAATCGATATGTCAGGGTTCGACAGCGTCGAACCCGATGGATGGATATTACAGGCGGATCGATATTTTGCAATTTACCAGTGGCTTGACGAAGAAAAAATCGCGGCTGCCATTCTATGCCTTAGCGGAGACGCGTTGACCTGGTTTCGATGGTCAAACAAGCAGAAAGCGATAAATACATGGGAGGAGATGAAAGATGTGTTTCTCAAACGATTCCAACCAATCCAGGGCGACGACTTGTACGAGCAATAGTCGGCGCTTGTGCAAACGGGAACCGCGGAGGATTACGTATGGCGTTTTATCGAGTTATCATTATCTTTCTATTTGTGTAATTGGATCTCTTGGTAACACAACTGTTTTAATAATACATGGGTCCTTGACTAGACCGTATTTGTCCATTTTATTTGACCCTTTGGCAGCCCATTGAATAGCCCAAAAGATGGTAAGTCTGGCCTTTTTTTTTCTCTGCGCGACGAGTCATGACAAACAAAAGTTTCCCTGTAATTTTGATGACTCTGTCTCGGCTCTTTGCATCTCTTGATTGACGAACACGAACTCACAAAGAGCAATCGGCAATCAGCCAACTGCTTGTCTCAAACTCTGAGTCCTCTCTCAACTTTTATACACTCGCATGCTCTTCAATCTCAAGTGTCATGTAAGTTTAACCTCATTTTCTATTTTAATTTTATAAAATCTTGACCTAATTTTTGTGACGCATTATATATATATATATATATATATATATATATATATATATATATATATATATTTGTGCTGCTTGAAATCGGTAGGCAATAGTTTTAGTGGTTAAATGTACTTAATTTTCATAATTTTGATGTTTATTGTTGATTGTTCAACTTCTAATTTTGTGTGATTTAGTGGTTAAATCTTTTATGTGTGTGATTTTGTTATATTTATGAATTGTTTGAGGTTTGAAGACAAAAAAAGTGTGTTTACATGGATACTAGAATAATGATATTTCACTTCGCAACCCCCCTTTTGCCTGCTGAACTGATAGAAGAAACCCCATACTTTATAATATATTTTTATTTTGGATTAATTTGTGAGTTTTTATGAAACAAATTTGAGTTTAGTGGCAAGTCTTGCTCCTTCGACATATGATTTTGATGGGAGTTTGATAAATTATAATTGTGCTTTGTTATATGAAGAAACTAAAGTTACAATATACTGAACAAATAATTTTGTTTATTAAAAAACATAGTAAGTAAACGGGTTTCAAAATGGAAGTCCAATAATTTTTGGATACAAACACATGGCATTCCATTGAAGTAAAATTAGTGAGAAGTAATGTATATGTCAATTAAGGTATAGAACATTGATTTTGGAAGTTTATTGTTCCTAACGTCAATTTTAATTAAGTTACAAATTTGTTTTCTGAAATAACTAGAAAATATATTTTGTTATAATCTTATTCCATTACCTTGTCCATTTCATTCTTTTGTCATTCCATTCCATTCCATCCAACCTAATTGTTTACTCTTTGTTTCAAGTCACAACAAATTTAATATCTCATGAAATTAAACTGTCATTCTGAATATCTTTTTAATAACAGTGATTTTGAATGGCATCTGATGCATCAGAGAGTATTGGGCAAAAGCCAAAGATACAAATATATTCTACACCAAATAATGAAGTCACCACTTTTTGGAAAGGTATTTTTCTGGATAAACTATATTTAATTATTACTTGAGGACAAATTTGTAAAAAGTTACCCATCTTTCCTGTCACAATTATTAAGTCAGAAAGAAACAACAACCTAAATTTTAAACTGTATTTCACAGAAAAATATGAAAGGGATGCTAAGAAATATTGGGATGTCTTCTACAAACGTCATCAAGATCGGGTTAGTTTTGATTTCCCTTTTTACCCTTGAATGCAAACTTTCATATACCTTCAATGGTTGCTGTTAGATTCTTCTAGAAGTTAATATTGTAACCTTTTTTTTTCATTAGTTTTTCAAGGATAGACATTACTTGGATAAAGAATGGGGTCACTTTTTCTCTGTGAGTGTACAAAGTATTTACTTACCACTTATTATAAATTTAGATTTCAACTTTTGAAGAAAATGTAAGCATCTCAATTTCATTAGTCTAAAACATCTCTTGCTATTTCAGGAAGCAGAGGAAAAGGTTATTCTGGAGGTAAATAATTTCATTGCTATATTTTCTTTTTACAAAATGGTTTTAATAAATATTCACAATCTCAACTCATGTTTTAATGATTTCTTTTTTGCATACATTGATTTATAGGTTGGATGTGGTGCTGGAAACACTATCTTTCCTTTAGCTGCTACCTACCCTGGTATATTTATTCATGCTTGTGACTTTTCACCTCGTGCAGTTGAGTTAGTTAAGGTAAAACTTTATTTTATATATATAAATTTTGTTACCCTTTTGCATGATGTTTCATATGATTTGAGTTTCTAGAGTAGAATCGATGCATGTCATATGCTTTATTGATGGTAATATGTATTAATTGATTTCTTTTTCTTGTTCTTAATTGCTACAGGCACATAAAGACTTTAAAAAAGAAAAGATAAATGCATTTGCATGTGATTTGACTAGTGAAGACTTGGTCAAACATATACCTCCATCTTCTGTTGATATTGTAACAATGGTATTGCAAGATTTTATCATGTAAAGTTTATAACAAGTACAAAAGCAGTTTCTTGATGTTTTTAAATTGTCAAGGTTACCCGATTTTGATCACATACTTTCACCATGTTATCGATTTAAGCCACTGAACAATTATTATAATAGTCATAAAAAAGTAATCCAATGGCTAACTTGTCAAAATGGTGAAAGCACCTTGTGTGTGTGTGTGTGTGTGTGTGTTTTAAGAATATTTTGGTCTTTAATAAAATTGGGTAACTGGTAAAAATGTGTTTTTTGTAATTTGTACATGTTTGTGGGGTCGTTAATATTATTAAAGTGATTGACTGACTTCTTAAGCAGATATTTGTCTTATCCGCAGTATCACCTGAGAAGATGCCTCTGGTATTGAAAAACATCAAAAAGATTATGAAGGTAATAATATAAATTTTATGTTTTTTTTTATAAGGTAAAATACAAAACCATTATATTTTTTGATAGTTTGAAAGAACCGTTTTTGGTATAGTGGTTGAAATGTTTTGGCTTCTATTAAAAATTTATAATAAAGTCAGTCTACTGACCTAAAATTTTAAATAATTCTTATATCCAGCCAAATGCTTATGTCTTATTCCGCGATTATGCTACAGGAGATCTTGCTCAGGTTAGCATTTTTCTTTTACTCCTTTCACTGTTTCTGTAAGACTTTTTTATTTAATAATAATAATTGACTATTAGAGCAAAGTAGACTGTTATTTCTTGCAGTTAACCCTACATTTATTTTAATATCATGCTGTTTTATTGGCAGGAAAGGCTTATTTCTAAGGATCAGAAAATCAGTGAGAATTTTTTTGTCAGAGGTGATGGAACTGTAAGTGGAAAATCCAAAAATAATAATTTTTAAAAAAAAATACACAATTGTATTATTTGTGATTGCTCTTTAAATGGTCAAAACATGTATAATGTTTAATCGTTACATAATATAAGTAAAAGTTAACCTACTAAATCGGTGGATTGTAAAAGACTAAAAGTACAAGTGCTTTTTACTATTTTGCCCTTTTTGATTTTTAATCTTGTACCTTTTTTTGTTGTTCTTATAACTTTTTTTTATTGCATCTTATGTTTCAGCGTGCTTTCTATTTTTCTGAGGAATTCTTGACAAATTTGTTTCAAGAAAACGGGTTACAAATCGAAGAATGTGGTTTGTGTTGCAAGCAAGTAGAAAATCGTTCACGTGAGATAGTAATGAATCGGTAAGTAATCTAATAATATTAAAAAAATTTATAGTTTTATTTAATTTAATTTTTTATTCATATATAAATGAAGAAAAAATCATTTATTATTGTTAGGCGTTGGGTCCAAGCTGCCTTTCGTTTAGATGACAAAATCCCTAAAATTTCAAAGGAGACTGAAGAGGGATTTGATATCGATATTTCTGAAGGAATTGCTTTTGAAATGTTTGGGATTTCTTCACCAAAGGATGAGGTTAGGGTTTAAAAAATCCACCCAATTATAACAATGTGATCCAAATACAAAGCAACATGTTTCAAGTTTCAACTTACAACACAAATAAATGAAAGTATGTTGTTAATTTATTTATTTTTGTAATAGATTACAGAGTACAAGTTACGAGATTGGAACTTTAAAATCAAACTACTTTCAAAAGAATTCCAACACACATGCAAATCAACTGGCTTAATGTTATGGGAATCCGCGCAACTCATGGCTTCCATTCTTGCCTCAAACCAAAATATTGTTTCCGGGAAAACAATATTAGAACTCGGGTCTGGTTCTGGCGGGATCTGTTCCATGATCGCCGTCAGAACCGCCCGTCTTGTTGTCCCCACAGACGGGGACAACAAAACCCTCGAGCTTCTTCAAGAAAACGTCATTTCAAATCTTGAAGAATCTTTAATTTCAAAGCTAAAAATCAAGAAACTAGAATGGGGTAACGAAGAACATATAGAATCCGTGAAAAAAGTGAGTGGCGAAAAGGGTTTTGATGTTGTTATTGGTACGGATGTGACTTATGTTGTGGAAGCAATTATGCCATTGTTTAAAACCGCAAAAGAGTTGATTTCAATTGATGGAGTGCTCATTTTGTGTCATGTGTTTCGGAGAGTTGATGAAGGGTGTATACTTTTGGCTGCTTCTTGTTTTGGTTTTCAGTTGGTTGATAGATGGCCAAATGGTATGTTGAATGGAAGCTCGATTATTGAGGATTGGTTTGAGGGTAGAATCGGAAAAGAGGATGTTGAAAATACGGCGTTAAATATCATGTACTTCCATGCCAAGTAATATTGTTATACTAGAGTGGACACTTATTTTTCTAGGGTTTTTTTAGTGCGAGGAAAAGGATATTTACGTTTTTTGCATAACTCACCGAATATGGTTTTGTTTTGTCTTTTTGGATAGGACAAAAGATTGTAATGTTTGTCTGGTGGACACAAGTCTTTTAGTCCGATGCATGTCAAAGACCATGCAAGAAAGGTGTTTGTTGTTTGCTAAGGTTTGTCTTTTGTGTATTGTTGGTTTTGTTATCTATTTTTTTGTGACGATAAATTTGTAAAAGATGATCGTTTTTTTAATATGGAGACATGTATTCAAGTATAAATACTGAAAGTGGATAATCTTTTTATTGTTGTTTTGATGACCTTATTGTTTTGTTTTTTTGATGATATAAAAAATATTATGTCTCATTGATGCTAGTCTCTGGTTCAATGCATAACAAATGTTTTTTTTTTTTTTTTTTCTCTTTCTCGATGATAAATCTCCTTTACCAATATAATAGGGATAATTACTTAAAAGGGTAACATATTCTTTGATTTGTACACATTAAGTCACTGAGTTTTTTTTGTCTATATTTTTCCATTGAACTTGTTGAACTGTTCAAAAAACATCATTATGACCTGTTATTGGAGGTTTAGCCGGTTTCCGGCGTATTTGACAGCTCCGGTCATCTTCTCCGGCGTTCCTGATTTTTCCGGCGACCTCAAAAACTCCGACATTCATGATTTTCCATCAGATCACTGTTCATTGTCTTCAACCTCCGGTCATAGTGTTCTTAAGCAAACCTGAAACAATTTCTTGAGCCTAGGATCGTGTTCTGATCTAACCCACATATACACACACTCAAATCTGATAAATCATTTATGGAAAATCTGTCAAAAAACGAAATCACACACACATCCAGATCTGGTTCGTGTTCTAAACAAACACACACTCAAATATGAAGAATCTCTCAAGAACACGATGAACAACCCTGATGAACTAGATAAAGATCTGAAACACATATGAACAAATCCAACCAAAAAATTCTAGATTTTGAGTTTATTTTAGAAGAACCCATCTGCAATTCGAACTCTTTCCACATTATGCTTACAAACTCAGATTTGGGGTAAGATATTTTTTTTTTAGAAATCGAACACATATGAAGATGAATACACACACGTGATGAACACACATACACACACCTTCGATTTGTTTGAAGCTTACAAACTCGAGGATTGGTTTGGTATTCCAGTATATAAAGACGAAAAATCAAACTCAAGAACAACCCTAGGTCAAGTTAGGGTTTTCAAACCCAGAAATCGATTTCCAAGAACAAAGAAGAAATCGAGTTTGTGTGTTTTAGGTTCCTTGAAGATGAACACACTCACATGTGGAGGTTTTCTCAAAATCGAGCTTGAAGATCTGAAGAGTTCTTGAAGGTCAGACGAGCTTGAAGATGAACTCGAGTTAGGGTTTTCAAACCCAAAAATCGAGTTTGAAGATGAACTTGAATCTGGAATATATATGATTTGTGTTAATACCCCAGAAGCAATTTCAAGTTCAATTTTTGAAGATATCGGTTCGTGTTCTGATCTAACATACACACACATTTCAAAAATCGTTTTTTGAGTGAGAAATTGTGATGTGTGTTCTTGAGTTTGAACACAAGAAGATGAAGATGAAGAATTGATTTCCGGGTTTGAGTTCTTAAGTTTCAAAATCGAACACCTACATGGGTTTATGTTCAAAATTTGTTTAGATCTAACAAAGAGACATAAGGAGAGAACAAATTCGAGTTCTTAAGTTCGGCGGGAAAATCATGTTCATCGGAGAATATGACCGGAGCTTTGCCAGAGCAGTCAAATATGTCGGAAACCGGCTAAACCTACTATTACAGGTTATAAGGATGTTTTTTAAACGGTTTAACAAGTTCAATGAGAAAATATAGACAAAAACAAAGTCAGTGATTAAATATGTACAAAACGAATAATAGATTACCCTTTTAAGTCATTATCCCAATATAATACATATACAAATATTTCTTATGTTTATTTGTAAACTTTGTTTTAACTGTATAGATACTTGCTTGGAATAAATCAATCTATCTATTTAACAATTCGAAGATTAACAAATTAAAAGTATATAAACTTTTATACCCATTTAAGATGTTTAAAGGTGAAAGCTATGTCAATTAAATATCTTACAAAAATGTATTAAACAACCAATTTTAGCCAATCTAACACAATAGTGATAACCTGTGTTTATTTTTATTTATTTTAGATAACAAATAACAAGTCCATTAAAATATCGTAAGTATGTGGTCATTATTTATTTTTTCCTATAATTGGGCGTTTAAATGAACGAAATCATAAGTAGATTGTTATTTCTTGTGATTTGCTAGAGTGAAATTAAGATGGCATTAATTACAAAAAAAAAAATAAAAAATGGTTCACTGGCGCAGGTGCATGTATTTTTCATTCGAGAGGTCTTGAGTACATGCCTCTTTTTCACCATTCTTCGTTTTTTTTTATATAAAATGTTATCATTATATTTCACATCAACAAAAGATGTCCAATCAACATGAATCTGATAAAAAAATATAAATTGAATAAAATTAATACTCTGCCTAAAAATCATGAAGTAAACTAAAAAGAATTCAGTTTAGGTAAAACCATTTTTTTTCTTTTTTGCAAACTTAAAAGTTTTTTCTACGGTATTTACTTTAAGGAAATTGAAAATCGGTGGAAAAGATAGATACTAGAAAGTTGAATAAATTAATTAGATAAAATTAGTAAAATAAAAAATAAAAGTGAAAAAAGTAAAAACTCAACTTAAGGTTTTTGTTGCAAATGCAATAAAAATAAAATATGATTTGAAGGAAATTTATGAACCCTAACTTGAACCGGAATTATCGATACCGGTCCTAATATGTCTAAAATCCAGATTCCTGAATATGATTCAGTTTCCCTGAGTCCGCGTAAGAACCAATCACATAAATCCCTTCGATTCGCTACTTTAAACAACTACAAAATATCTCCCGTCGAGGGTTTGCGTCTCTCCATCTTCATCGGATCGATCTTCGCAGGTAATTTTCATTAGATTCCCAAATTTCATAACATAAATGCATGTAAATTTTGGTATATGTTTACTTTATTCCAAAATCTATATATCAAATTAGAGTCTTGCACAAACACTTTGCGATTATGTTAATCTAGGGTTTCTACTAAACTATTATTTAGGGCTTTTTTTGGTTAAATTTCGAGAATAACTACGGCTGAAGCCTTAAAGATTATGCTGACTCGTTGCTTATAGTGAAGCGACGGTTGTCCAATTTGCCTATGATTGCGATAATTTTTTGGATTTTTTGTGTTATCCACGTAAACATGGATTTGTTTCTGGCAGTTGAGTGAATCTCATAGCCTCCTTAGGCTATGATGTTTGTGTTTCCTTTTTGTTTAAGAGACTTTGAGTAAGTGATTATGTTAGTTTCTTGGTTATAATATCAGTTCTTAATTCATATGCATTTCACAGTGTTATGTAATGTCTACTTATTGATATACATGTTCTTATATTTGGTATAATTGCATAGATATAGCTTTATGATCCAATGAGAGAAGGAAATATGAACTTTGTTGTAAACAAAACTTAAAATACAGTTTCTTGAAGGTTTATGTTGTTCTTTTTCAGCATCTGCAGTAACATATACACAAAAATATGACTGGGGAAAGAGCATTACATCCAGATTGCAGAAATTCTTCAAACCCATACCATGAATGTAGTGAATTTTGCTACAAAGTTATCGCTGAAGCCAAGAAACTTGCTAGTATAAGTGAACCAGGTTATCGATTTTCTCTTGACTATATTTTCTTTTTACTGTTTTAATGCTCAATTCTTCTTAACATTTCTTGACTAATGGCTATGAATGAACTCAGCTGGCTTGCAAGCTGCTCAACCAACATCTGTTCAAACTAAGGTTCTTGATAATGACCAAAGTGACCCTGATGATAATCCAAGTGATGATGACAACAATGCCCCTGATGATCAACCCCAAGTGGACTTCACTAAGCTTACAGGGAAACAAAAGAAATTATTCGAATTAAGGCTAAAGATGGTATGCAAAAATCAAAATACAACAACATAGTACACTTTTTATCATTCTTTTTTCCTTGGTTATATACTTATGTTGTTGTTTTTTGTATATGTAGAATGAGGCAAGGAAAGCCAATCAAACTGCCATGGTGGCAGAAAAGAAAAGAATGGAAGCTCCACAAGAATCCAGAGGAATTTCCAAACAAAAGTGGATTGAAGAGAGGAAGAAAAAGATTGGAAAACTTCTTGATTCAAATGGATTAGATATGTCAAAAGCATACATGTTAGATACACAACAAATGGCAGAAACAAAGTACAAAAAATGGGAGAAAGATCCTGCTCCAGCTGGCTGGGATGGTATAAAACTATAAAATCACATTTTTCATTTATTACTTACAAACAAATATTTAATTATTTATTATTTTATATTTTTGTCAACAGTGTTTAATCAGAAAACTTTATATGATGCATACAAGAAACGGACTAAAAAAATGGATGTTGATCTTGAAGAATACAATAAAATGAAAGAAGCAGATCCAGAATTCTATCGTGAAGCTTCAAGTCTACAATATGGAAAGGCAAGTCTTTTTTTTTCTTTGAAAAATTGATATTTTTTTAAAAGTAGAATGGTGTAATAACAGGTGTTTTTTGATCAGGCACCGAAAGTTTCAGAAGATAAGATTGAAAGAATGGTGAAGGAGTTGAAGGATAGAGATGAGAAGAAGAACACATTTAGTAGAAGAAGAAGGTTTCATGAAGAGAAGGATATTGACTCCATTAATGATAGAAATGAGCATTTTAATAAGAAGATTGAACGTGCTTTTGGAAGATATACACTTGAGATCAAGAACAATCTTGAGAGAGGAACTGCTTTACCTGATTAAAATGTGGTTTGAATATTGTTTTGATATGTAACAATACGTAAAATTGCTCACTTTGTTTTGTGTGTTTCATCTGGTTTTGGATTTAGTTTGAACAAGCTTTAATGAATTTAAAATTTAGTGACATGTGATTTTTCCTAAGTTTTAAAATTTTAGTTTTGTGTATAAGTGTTATATATTGCTTAATAACTTACTAAACTTGTGCTCTTGTATTTTTTTATATATGCTAAAACCGTATTTTGGAACTCTACTTTTACTTGGAACAGTTCCAAAACTCGAATAAACAAACTTGAAACTTGATATTTTGATTAGTTTTTACAATTTTTTGGTGTCAGATTGGTGTATGAACATTATATATTGCTTAACTAGAAATGAGGCCCGTGCATTGCACGGGTCGGATCTTTTTTATTAGTGTTTGGCGGGTCACGAAAGTATGATGCTATAATGTCATTCAAATACAATACAGCTGGATAGATTGAAGAGTATAATGTCCTAATGTAAGAAATGAAAGTATTCGGTGTGGTATCATAATTTTTAACTTATTAGAAACTCCTTATAAATAGGGAAACCTAAATTAGTGCAACTCTCTTCTTCCTACAGCCTCTTCATATATTGCATCAAGTTTGTTTCTGACATGTTCCTAAGAAGAAGATGAACAAAAAAAACTTTAGTTTAGCAAACCTTCAATAGTGCAGTTGTTAAGGTACTGCAAAGTGAAAGTCATCCTCGAAATAATTAAAAAGAAAATTCATATACTGATTAAAAGTCTGAAGAATTTAAACAGAAATTCATATATTGAAAGAGCAAGGTTACCTTTAAGAAACCCTAAAAATATGTGGTAGTGGCTGGAATTAAGGTTAAGACAAATAGTCTTCAATTACTGTACACAATGGCAACTCATGTCATCAGAAGCTATAACAAATCCTACATTCCAAATCGACATGGATGAAAAATTGGTCAACTATGGTGTGGATCAACAGCATATTTGACGTACAAACATGTAGACAGAGAGAGGAAGAGTGAATCGATACCATGGGGAGAGTAAGCAAAGTAAGCTCTGTAAGTGCAGGTGTGATCGTCGCACCCTTTTAAACTCTGTCGGGAAGAAGCCCTATATTTCTCCTTCCTACCATTCATCCTTTTGCAATTTGTAAGCAAAATCCAACACAAATTAAAACGATGCACTCAACCACATTGAGATGTGGCCAGATTTCAATAAAAATTACACAAATGAATAAACCATTTGCACCGTTTTCAATGTTGGACAGTTGGACAGATATGATTGGTGGGTAAGATACATATCTACAACCAATTAGGGTTTAAAAGCCATTAAGCTATCTGAGAAGATGGAGGGGGGACGATGAACACCTGGAAGGGAAACAGAGAAGATGAACGGCAATCAGAACGAAAACATTTGAAGAGCTGAACAGAACATAAAATTCAGATTGGGAAGTGGAAGCAATCCGCAAACATCCATGAAAGAAGAGATATAGGGAACTCGTCGGAGTCTTCTGTGGTAGAAGCGGGCTCGCCGGCATCGGCTACAATACAATTATAAGACCAAAACCGTGATGTTGCATAAATTGGTAAACAAAAAAGCACAACATTGTTGCATAAATGGTAAAAATGCAAATCATTGTTGCATAAATTGGGAAAAATGAAACACTATTACATAAATAAACATTCGACCGGTCAAATTGTTTAACTATAAAAATAGTATGCAGGGGCAGTTTGGTCAAAAAATCTTAAAATCATTTTTTTAATTATAAAAACAATATGCAGGAGTTGCATCAGTTTGAAAAAAAAAACTTGAGAAAATTAAAAGATTCCATTTAATGAAATTTATATTAAAAAAATAAAAAAAAAGTGTAGATCAATTTTATTTAGACTACAAAATGGCAGCTTGACTTTGTGTATAACCAAATCAAACATCAATTGAGAGTCATTTTCCCTCCTTTTAACAAAATTAACATATATGGTCCCTGTATATTGAACAAAATGGGCAAATTGATAAAAATGGTGAAATGAATTCTTTGACCAAAAATAAAAAAAATAAAAAAAAATTTGTTTTCTGTTTAAATGGGTCAAATAACGGAAAAACAAAAAAACTCCGATAAAATTACCAAATTGGATAAAAAGGTCAAAATGGTCATTTTGACTAACAAATTAAAAAAATCAAACTTTCTGTTTTAAACGTTTCATTTCAGTATTTTTTTTTTCAACTTAAGTATGACAAATTATGAAACATTTTTTTTTCTTAAGAATGACAAAGTTGATAAAAAAAGGTAAACTCATTCACTTAGTTGCTAATATTAAGCTTAAAAAAAATGATATGTTTGCAATTTCATACATCCATATGATGAACATCAAATGCTTGATAGGAATGAGGACTGAAAATTTGACTTGAGCCAAAGAAAAAAATAGATTTCAATCTGAGCTGCAGCACTTGTCAATTGACCGAATTCTTTTGAACATATTTTTAAATTCATGTAATGTTACTATAGAACAATGTCACAAAAACTTTTTACCCCAATAGTTTCATACCAGAATTAAAAAAGAAACAAATAGACATAATTGATAATACCATTTGTATGTTAACAAAGCATAAATAATGTATTAAGAAAATTTTCAAAAAGCTGAAATTACATTTACTTATGGGCACATCAGGGAGACCATACCAGAACTCTCTCTTTTCTCACTACGTTTCCCACATTGACCCGTAACTATAACCTAATTCAACATTAAAAAATACCATTAAAAAAATTCTTTCATATTTTTCCAAAAGATAACAACTTGCATTGATTCAGAGATTTCTTGCTGGAGGATTTACTCTTGGTGATCATCATACATCCATAAGTTTAATATAAAAGATTTGACTCTTTGAATATTTCCCTTCAGCACATTTTTGGTTAATAAACGAAAAACTATATTAGATAAGCTCGAAATTGGCTGAAATTTCAAAAAATAATATACCTGATGTTGGAGTTCATTAAGCTGGATTTCCTACTACATAATTACCTCCCACGTGTGAAAATGCATCCAATGTATTGATCCCTATGTTGAAGAATGTCACCTACAACAGTCATGATTAATTGCAAAAAGAGTAAGGAAAAAAAAGTATCAATTAAGAATCTTAGGGTGTGTTTGGAAGCAGAATTTGGAATTCCAGATTTCGTTCCACCGTGTGGTCACTATATTCTCGGACATTACATTCCCTTCTAGTATCAAAACCCCTGAAAACATAGTTAAAAGAAAGATTAATCAGATAACATAAAGCCCCCTTAAGTCCTAACTCCTTACAGCAAGTAACAAAACAAAAGTGTGAACAAAAAATTCAGCTCAAACAGTTATATAATTAGATAAAAAATGAAAATAAATAAGCTAATGGAGAAAGCATCGCTGATCAAAAAGCTACCAGATGATGTGGCTGAACATATTTTCTTTAAAAATTCATATCCAACCTGCTAATATAATGATCAGATAGAATCCCATATACATGCAAACACGATTTGTTGAAATTTTGAACTGTTTGAGATGTGTTGACATGAAAATGGAGAATCGGAATCTGCTTTTGTGAGGGTAAAAATGACCCATATCCACCAAATTTTGGCTCTGTGAAGAAATTTGTTATAAAGTTGTTCAGAATACATGGTACAACAACAAATTATACATCAAATTCAAGCACTCTATGCAATAAACGCATCAAAACCCTAATTATACCGGAGTTTACTGGTATCGTACAACAATAGTTGATTCAAGTGGATTTTTTGGTTAATCAAATGAAAATTAAGGAAAGAAACATACCGATTGGCGCGTGATGTGCATAAGCCACATGAAATTTTGGGTATGCTTCGAAAGGCATGTACCGGTAGTTGCCAGAGCTTCAAAATGCGGATATGGAAATGAGTATCGTTGGAGCCAATTTACAGTTCTCTTTAACAATATAGAGCAAAAAATGGGAAAAAACGCAAAAAGAATTTACGGGATTGGAGCTTCGAAAATCGGAAATCAACAACGACGACCGAAGTTTAAGTAGGAATCGATAGTGATGGTTGAGTAGAGGGAGGACTGGTGGGACTGAGGAGCTGCAACGAAGTCGTAAGAAGAGAGAGAAGCAATCGACGGGATGAAAGCAGTAGAAGTAGTAGAAGGCACCGGAAGTGGTGGATAAAATTTAATCGGAGAAAGAGCGAGGCGGTGTGACAGGGAGTGGAGGCGGTAACATGGTCTACCGTGCAGCAACGTCTGTAACACACCGACCAACACGTGTATAGCAACATGCGCTGGTATGGTCTGGCGGTGACACAAAACAGAGAAAAGCAGAGGGAAGATGGTTAGGCGAGAAGAGGAGAAGAGGCTGTAATAGAGGTCGATGAAGTAGTCAGGATCGGTGAAGAAGAAGATAGGAGAAGATCGGAGGTTTTGTGCTGAGGAAGATAAAGCGAGCGGAAGGATCGGGAACAAAAAGCCCTAATCCCTATGGTAACCCGAGGAATAGTACCCTGATCAGGTACTGTTCCTAACCCCTATGGTAACCTAGCATATTGACGACACTTTTATCAGATGATTAAAAGTGATAAAATTCACAAACATAAAAAGTTCAGGGACCTGGAATGTAACTTAAGGGACCAAAAGAGACAAAAATTATGCTAGGTTTACTCTTCCTTTACATCACAATTTTAATATATATATAATAATAACTTGTTAAATTCGTTATGTTGTTTATACAAGTTTAAAAGGAATTTCAAAATTATGCCTTTATGTAGAACAATTCAAATTTTCACAACTATTATAAGCAATTTAACTCCTAGTTTTTACACTTTTTACATCATCTTTTTTTTCAAACTTTAGTTGCTAAAAGTGCTATTCCTGATTTCCTGTGCATAATTGAGGATTTTTTGTGAAGAAATGGACAAAACATTAAGTAGGTTGCCTTAATTGGTCCAGAAGGCGAAACAAACACTTTTCAATGATATATACGTATCTACCAAAAACACCTACAATCTTCTTACTAAAATGCACATTTGGGTGTGTATGAATTAGGTCAGTATACAATGGTCTAGTGTTGCTTATATAGAATTTCAAAATTCATTAAACTACTTCGAACATCGTATTTTTTTTTTTTTTTTTTTGTGTTTTCTAATGTTATATTCATCAAAACTTGCACCTTGTTTGTTTATACATTGTCATCATTAAGAGAAGGATATTGAAAAGATGGTGAAATAGTAGCTAAAAGGACAATGACCATAAGTGTAGGTACATTTATGTCTTGTTTGGCAAAAATAAGTTAAAACCATGAAAATAGCTTATCATAGTTTATAAAATAGTTTATCAATTACCTTGTGGATAAGCTAGCTTAAGATAGCTTATTGATAAGCTAGCTTAAGATAGCATATTGATAAGCCAACTTTACACCCATCAATTTAATAAGTAAACTTTTGAACACATGTAGCCATGTTGAATATGCTTATTACAACTATGAGATTCTGGGAACACTTGGTGTAACTTCTTTTTATAAAGCTTAATATGGGGAAATCTATGTCATTCTAATATGGAATGTATGTTTTTGTCAAATGTTAACTAAATTAAGTACTATGAAAGAGTGTATGATGGATCAGTTGCTAAGAGTGATATTTCTATTCACAATTAAGCATTTTTTTGTGAAGAAACGGCCAACACATAAGGAGAAAAACCACTTTAATAATGTATCTACCAAAAGCACGTTCAATCTCTTTATTTACAAATTTTTGAAACATCTCTTGCACACACAAGAGATCAATAGATGTGACAAAAATTGCAACTTTTGTCCTATCCACAAAATGCAATTTAAACACAATGCAACTTGTAGTGTCATTAAATCTTCTGCATAACAAATTAAAACACCACACCAAAAACGATGAAAAGAAAAAGCATCCCACCATAAAAATTAAGAAACCAAGTTTCATATCCTCCAAACAAAGTGGCAGAAAGAAACATAAGACAAGAAAAACAGCAGAATTCAAACAGACCACATAAGGATGTTCTGAATCTCTTCTAAACAAAAGCAAAAAGAACCCAACCCAACCCAACCCACCAACCAACGTTATATACTACTTTTACTACTACCATTCATTTATTAAATTATTACTCAAATGCCCATGCATTCTCTCTACGAACCTCTTCCTCTTCTTCAGGGGTGAAATCATTCTTGATGTTGAATGTTTTGCGGATCTCTTCAGGTGTCTTTCCCTTTATCATGTCTGCAACTGTTTGGCATGTCAGATCCAACAAGCTCTTTATGTTCAGATAGTTAGCAGCCTGAAAAAACAATTCACAAACAAAGAAAACCCAAACATTAAGTACATATCACTTTAAAAGCAACAAAATCTTTTAAGAAGGTTATATCAATTCAATATATTGTATGTACAGTTGGATACTTGTATGTGACCATCAACCAAAAACACTATAAACTCAGTTGACTTCAACCAAAGATTTCTTGAAGAAAGAGGAAGGAAACAAAATAAGACCAAAAAATTGGTGATACAAGATTACAATCTAATATGAACTTAGATACTAACAAAGAAAAATCAAATAACTATTAGTTAATACCACTTTCCTCAATTTTAACTATTAAATTCCTTTTCAGGGTGTCATGTATAACAAGAACCAACAATAACATCTCTAAATATCTATATATGATCCAAAATACATTCAGATATCTTCAGAAAAAAGCATTAATCAGTAACCTAGTTACCTAAGCATGTTACCACACAAGCATCAAAGAGTATGACCTAAAATATTCACAAAACTAGAGGAATCCGATAATAATATCCGCGAATTCGTCAAATAAACACGCAATATTTTTAGACACCGATCACGTATCACAATCGCAAAAGAACAACATCAATCGTGATCTTTAACGCATATAAACTCGATCGTTTTTGTCAAAATAAATCAATTAGATTATGCGAAAAGAAAGTAGAGATAAGCGAACCAAAATGAGATCGAATAGAGTCCCCTGATCCACTTTAACAAACTCGGCATCAAACGATTTCAGATCGTCCTCAGCTGCCTTATCGTCGGTCTTCGGTGTCTCCACATGCTTCTTACAGTACTCAATAACCTTTGACAGGATCTTGCTTGTGACGTTGGGGAGAGGGATACTAGTGTCGGCACAGTCGTCTTCAATCATATGTTTAATCGTCTGTGACTCCAACGCCACCGCTTCTTCAACCTCGAAGGTTTCTCCATCGGAACTTTTCAAAACAATAACCTTAGATGATGAAGACATGGTGTATTGATCGGCCGGAATTCGGAAAGCCTGGGAATTTTTGGGGATGAAAGAAACCCTAACCCTAGAAATGGATAGAATTTGATGGCGAGAAGGCCGATGGGTAACAATTGATGTGCCCCCGCTTACAACTGCTTGAATTATATATGCGACTTCGTACGTCTCTTGGGCCCCAAGCTGTATAATTCTGTGCAAAAATGGCCCCTGTACTTTTTATTCTCTTTGCAAAAAGGTTATTTGTATCTAACAACTTACGTGTTTAGTCCCTGAACTACTCCTTCATCACGGTTTATGTTCATTGACTTTGTTTATGTTCTGTTGCATATATATCATATACACTGGGTTTAGAAAATTGATGGAATTATTTTTTCTTTATAACTTTGGTAATACAAGTACTTTATTAATATTATTAATATTTGTTTATTAAATAAAAGGTTGTTACAAACTTTTACATCATGTTCCTGAATTACGAAGAAAAGAAAATGAAATAGGTGAAAATGAAAAAAAGTAAAAAAAAAAAAAAATTGATGTTTCTGACTTTCATTAAGGGGGGGGGGGGGGTACCAAATTTAACGACATGACGGAATTAATAAAAAGATTATGATAGAATTATACCTGAATGATGCGTCGGGATGGATTGACGATAGATTGTTTGGATTATATGAATGATTATATGAATATACTTCGATAGGGCTCTGCTATTCAGAAATTAGAACAACTATTTCAACAGAGGAAGAACTTTGAGATCAACTCAAGTCTTAAACACTCAAACTTAACTTGTTTATTTCATATGGGCAAAGACCCTATTTATAGGCTCAAGAGAGCCGATTACATAATTGAATTGCAATCGTATGATTGCAATATGACAAACATCTTTACAATATAGCCCCCTAAACTAATGAGAGACTAACACTTTATGTTACATCACAAATAACACTTAATAATTATCCTACCGACACTTTTAAACAATTACATTAATAAAAATAACAATCCATTCCACATTGAAAGGACACGTGTCTTCAATAATGTTGGCTGAAGTCTTCAATAATGTCTTCAATAATGTTGGCTTTTTACGTCATTGTCTGCGTCATTCCAGCTGCTAGCTGCCTCTTCTTTAGATACTGAATAAGATGATAGAATTTGTAGTGTCTGCTGTAGTTGCTCTTCTTCATGATTGACTGCTTCAAGTTGTCTAATTAATGATGCTTTTTGCTCCTGCTTCTGTTTGAGCTGGTGTTGTATTTGCTTCATGATTGCTTCCATGTCAATATGTCTACTGTCTGAATATTTGCGTCTTTTGGGTACCTTAATGATTTCTCATATTTGTTTGCTTTTAATATTTTAAATGATGATATGAAAATTTTCATATCAATGTATGCTTTTGGTGATATTTTCATATCACTGTATGTTTTTGGTGATATTTTCATATCACTGTATGCTTTTGGTGATATTTTCATATCACTGTATACTTTATTATTGTTTACTTCAGATGGTATTTTCATACCAATGTATGCTTTAGCAATGTATATTTCGGATGGGTTAGATATGAGGTTTCCCTCAAGTTCTAATCCCAATAATACTTTTTCCATAGGATCATATATCTGCATCTGAATCAGAATCAGTTGTATATGCATAAATATCTATGTCTGAATCTATATCTGAATCTTCTATCGGTTCATATCCAAGATCATATGCAATTTTTAATAGGTTTGTTTCTTTTTCTTTTTTAGTCTTTTTTGGGCATTCATAAGCTTTGTGTTCGTCCTCTTGACATATCCAACATTTACAATCTTTTTTATTTGATGGGCAATAATTTGTTTTAGATTGATATTTTTGTTTATATTGTTTTCTATTTCGAAAATATTTTATTTCTCCTTGTTTATAATATTCTTTATATTTAGGTTTATAAGTTTGTTTTTTCCAAATTTTCTTTTTATATTGTTGTCTTTTATTATCTTTACAACCATATTGATTAACTTTATTAGAAAGGATGTCACAACATAAATCAATTTTTTGCGTCTTGTTGTGTTTTTTTGTTCTAAGCATTTCTTTTTGCATCCATGCTTTTAATATACTTATTCGTGCTCCTAGAGTGTCTGCAATTTTATTTTGTTGTAAAGCTTCTTGAAAATCTTTATTACACTTTGGCTTACTAATGATGGTAATTTTTTGATAAACATATCTAATGCTACCTTTTTCTAGTGGAATCTAAATATAATAATGTTCAGAATATTCGCATATAAACGGATCTAGATAACACATATTACAAATTCGTAGATTAGTTAAATGTCATAATGATTCTAATTGAAAAGCTTCTTGTGATACTTTATCTTCAATTTGTTTTCCTATGAATTCCTGAATAAGACGACTTAATACATTTTTAAATGTTTCCATAGCATCAGTAGTAGCTATCATCATTGTTTCGGTTTCATCAAGAGATGAGAGAAAACGATATGCGTTACCTTGTGTTTTATGAATGATATAAGTAAGAATGTGGTTGGGTGTAAATTTCTTTAATTCTTCAGTTAATTGAATTTGTACTCCCATTTTTATTACTCCATTCTTGAATTTTCGCTTCAGGATTTTGATCACAATCAATAAAAAGAATATCTGAATTTGTTGTAAATGTAAATAATTTAGGTATGTATTGAGGAGGTATTTTTTCCCATTTATTTTGTTTTTTTTTAATCATTCATTGTCTATATAAAAAAATTTTCTTCTAATGAAGGTGGTCCATAAATATATTGACGTTATAATCATCTTCTTCAAACATGTTGTTTTCGTTTTAATCCAAAATTATTTTGTGAATTTTTATATGGATTTGAATATGGGTTTCCATCATCGGATGAAAAATCATATATTACTTCTGCGTCATTATTATCTGAACTATTTTCTATTTCTGTATTATTTTCTTGAATTTCGGATGGAATTTCTAATGCTGCAAATAATTTAGTTAATGTTTCTACTTTTTCTTGTAAACTTTCCATATTAATAAATTGTGTGTATTTTGTAAATGAAATCTTTAGTTTTTTTTTACTAGTGGAGTAGTTATTATTAGTGATTTTTCTATTTTTTTGAAACATATTTAACAAATTAATTTTGTTATTTTATCTTCAAGGTTTTTTATTTGTTCTTGTTTCCAATTTATACTATTATCTATTATATGTATTGCTTCAATATTAGAAATGCAATTAATTATCGATATATTAGAGTCTATTTTTAGGTTTAAAAGAAATTTTTTAGATTATTTCAGTGTTTTACGAAAAAAAAATTAATTCTTGTTTATTAATATTTAAACTTACAAAACTCATAATTAAACCTTATAAAAACAAAATGATAATGTTTTTCAAAGTTACGTATAAAGTTTTTAGAATTTAATATAGTGGGGTGATGATATTAAATTTGTAATACGGAGAGCTGAAAACTTTTGTGAAAGATGAATTGTAAATTTAACTTCTTGGTACATATTATATTAAAACCTTCTTACGACAATTGTTTCAAATTGTTGGTGAATTGATTTTTAATAACGATGACTTTTGAATATGAGTATTTATGAACAGATATGTAAAACGATGAATATTCATTATCATGTTTATGATGCTGCATATATTCTTATGAACGAAAGATTGAATATTCAAAATAATAATAATAACGTTACTTAGCTCTGATACCAAATTTAACGACATGACGGAATTAATAAAAAGATTAGGATAGGATTATACCTGAATGATGCGTCGGGATGGATCGACGATAGATTGTTTGGATTATATGAATGATTATATGAATATATTTCGATAGGGCGCTGCTCTTCAGAATAGAACAACTATTTCAACAGAAGAAGAACTTTGAGATCAACTCAAGTCTAAACACTCAAACTTAACGTGTTTATTTCATATGGGCAAGGCCCTATTTATAGGCTCAAGAGATCGTTACATATTGAGTTGCAATCGTTTGATTGCAATACGACATACATATTTACATTATAGCCCCTAGACTATTGAGGGTTACACACTTTATTTCATTTCTAACCGACACTAACTTTATGACACATACAAACAATAATTATACAACGACAAATATAAATAATTCTACCGACACAATATTTACACAATATTAATATAATCTCTTCCACATGGAAAGGACAAGTGTCTTCACTAATTCTTCAATAATAATGGCTTTTTACGTCATTGCTTGCGTCATTCCTTGGTACAAAGTATAAAACAAAAAATCAAAGTTCTTCCTCTGTTGAAATAGTTGTTCTATTTCTAAATAGCAGAGCCCTATCCAAACATATTCATATAATTATTCATATAATTTAAACAATCAATCGTCAATCCATCCCGACGCATCATTCAGGTATAATCATATCCTAATCTTTTTATTAATTCCGTCATGTCGTTCAATTTGGTATCAGAGCTACGTTTCGTTCTTATCATTTTTATTATAAATATGAACATTCATCCATTCATTCATAAGAAAAAATATTCATCATACATCATTATAAATGCTATTACATTAATACATATCATTTATCATACTCATCTTTATTTGTCATGCATCATCATAAATATTATTATGAATATGAATATTCATCGTTATGATTTATCATCATAATCATCATAAAATTAATAGTCATAATAAACTTCATTATTATTTTTAAAGCTATAACTTATTAAAAATGTCTCAAGAAATAGAGAATTCACCAATAATTATTAATAACGAAGAAAATGAATCTGGATACACTTTTGATGCTTTAATTAAAAAAATAATATCAATAAAGATATATAGAAAAATCAAATTTTACACTATCCGAAAAACATAATTTTAGAAATAACACACTAAAAACTTCTTTTCTTCTAGAAAAAATATTATATACTATGGAAAAATTATAGGAGAAGAACCAATACCATAGAATCACTCAAGAAATATTATTATACCTATAATAAATAAACAACAAATTAGGAATAGATTATCTAATATTAAAGAAATAGATAGAATAAAAATTGCTTATATTCATATATCAACTATTCAAATAATTTTAAAAAGTACTTTTAGTGATTTAGATACACCAATAGAATTAGAAATCAGAGATGATCGTATAATTAATAATCAAGAAAGTATTATTGCAAAAGGAAAAGGTAATTTAATTGAAGGAAAAAATAATATTTGATATTAATATTCAACTAGAATTAAGTCTTAAATATAAAAATCTAAGTAATAATAGTATTACTGTACGATATAAATTATTAAGACAAAATTTTATGTTAAAAGGTAATCATCCGTTTACCATTACATATCA